TCCAACTAGACAGGCTTTCAAGAACCAGAGAGGAGCCATCTTTGCAAGCTGATACCTGATGTGTACTGACAGAATTCTCACTAGATGTTACGCTTTCTTACTCTTAGTACTCCCTTGTGCCATTGTTCCAGCAGATGCTGCAGGTGCCGCTGACCTGCACAGTTTGTACGAGTACTTGTAGATTTATGCAGTGCGTGTCTGCAGCTGTATTTGAATGTGTGCGTAGTGCACAGTTTGTAGTTGTCCCCTAGGCCCTGTGCCTGTGATACGTGATTTGTAGTGCGTGTTAGCTTACACGTGGGAATGCTACGCACTTTCATGTGACCTGCTTTACTTCCTTCTCACTGTACTTCCTTTTATGCATGTATCGCTGGCGCATATGTGACACGGGCCGGCCGGGCCGGAGTGTGTATTGGTTTTGGAAGCATGTGCCTTTTTGTCCTGTGAGTGAGTTCGCATGCACATGTTGCTGGCCGCGTGGTAATGTTTTGGTTCTTGTTGTGTTGGACCTGAGCTCTAGATTCTACAAAGTTTGTAGCTGTTGTGATTTTACTATGTTCCATGGGTCTGAATAATTGTGTTCTCCGGAGTGGAGTAAAACTGAACTGTGATTCGATTGTGTGCGGAAACCCGGTGTTGACGAAAGTGTGTTGACCTGGGCGCTGAGGAAAAGTAACACTAGATACCTTACGGACTACGTCTGGTGTATACTTCATAGTACTCCTTCGACTACTGTCTAGAATTAAGTCGACTGAAACAAGTTCAAACAACTCTGGCTTCAAACGAGCCGTCGATTAGACAAACAAAACATTCTCTCATAATACTTTAGCACTCTGACAACTCCCGACCTATTCCTAACGATTGCCACCGCTTATTAATATGTAGAGGGCTGATTGGAATGTGCTCATAATCTCAACAATTCAGTGCTATAATTATTTGAACAATGTGTTAGAAATTATTCCACTTTCCTTCCATAAATGTTGTATCCACATATAATCCACAGTGCTGCAAAGTTTCAGAGTTCTCAGGGTATCAAACAAAATTATTTCAAATACAGTGAAATTGTTCGTGGACATTATAGCGTAACTTGTAGTTCCCTGGTCCTTTTCTTTGCTATAAATTAATCCTTTGCTCTCTAGCCGCCGGCGAGTCCAACAGTGAAATTGTTAGTTCATATTAATTAATAATGTGGGTATGTAGGAGGGGGGGGGGGGGGGGGAGGGGGTTGGACATATTTCTATATATGGGACCTGCAACTGTAATACCACAGTATAGTAGCTGGCAAATATGTAGAAAACAGAAATGCATGTTACCATCATTGTACATGGACGGGCGCAGCAGGCCGAAGCTATCAGCCAGAACGGGATTTACAATCACCTAGAGAAACTGGAACTGTTCCAGTATTCTCCGTGAGCTGTCCCATTCCACAATGGTTCATGCCACCATTATTTCTGGTAGTATCCATGTGCATAATTCCAAGACCATCTCGGATTCTTCAGCAATTTGTGCCACGGCAAAAGACAACGCTTGACTCGGTCACTGGGGCTGTCAAACTTCCCATCACAAATGAACTTCAATTTCTCGTCTGCTTCAAGTATATGTACTGCCATGACTTGACCATGCTTCATCCACAGCTGGGCGAAGATTGTGGCGTTGAATTCCATAGCGCACCTTCTTGCTGCCATGCAGGGAGTATGTTGAGAGAAGTGAACATATTTTTACTAAAAAACAACAGCCACTGAAGAGGATAGCAATAGCCTTGGGTGAATTTCCTGTTGTTGGTAGGTCTACTGGTCCGTCTCCATATCGTCAAGTTCAGAAATCACCTGTACTACACTACACATCTTGTGGAGGGGATCCTGATCGAATAATTTCTGGTCATAAAATTCACTAAACTGAGGGCGAGACAAATAGTCGTACTCCCCGATTCCGTCAAGCTGCTTTGAAGTCTGGATGCTCATGTGATGCTAACAAGCTCCCCATCGTTACTTCCAGCAGCTTCACTTTCCCTGCGACAGCTGCTATCAACCTCTCTCTCTCCATCGTCGACAATTACCACAGATTCAATATTCTACATTTAGCAGCACTGCACTGGTTGAATATGTCTCGAGACGAATTTAGCGGATCAACAACGCTTTGCTGGAGATAAATTCTCCTCTGGAGGACCTTCAGGGTACCTGGAAGGGTATAGAAGACGGATCGCTCACGACGTTGAGAGAACGTAGAAAATAACCTCCTCTTCGATTGAAAATTGGCCAAAAAGTATGTGAAATGTATGTGCGCAGATGCATTTCCACTGGCAAGCTAATCCCTCATTACGTCATCAGCGCTCGCTCGGCGAAATTCAAAAGTCGTCTTCCTGCTCGACTCGATCGCTTCTGGAGACTCATTCTTGTTCGAGGGGTCTTCTCTTTCACCAACCTTCGTCTTGGCATCGAAAACTCGGCGTCGAAAATGAAGCCGGAGTGCCCCTATTTAATGGTGCTTGTGGCACTGGACA